AATACATAATATATATATATATTACAATACATAATATATATATATATAATGAAATTGAATATATGGGATCGTCGGTTTAAAATAATTTCTCTTTATTACATAACCTTACATTAAATTTCCTCAGTCCCCTTAATATTGAATCAAACGTCCTTGCAATTTCTTCGAAAAGCTGTACATGTATTAAAAAATAATGGCAACAAAAGGTTTTCGTTGTCGTTTTTTATTTTAGAAGATGTAATTATGAAATAGTGGACGTTTGTATCAGCGGCTGTATAGCGAGCTTCCTACCTAGAAAGCATTTTGGACAAAACTGCTGCCTAGGTAGAAATCTCACTAGGTTTTGAGACTCTCACGTATTCTCTATACGTTTTAAAGGGGAGATAACACACACAGTTTCACCCAATCTCATGTTAATCTTGAGTACCTATAGAGTAGTACTGCATCCTTTACATCTCCATAAAGTCTTTAGTTTTATCATATTTATAAAAGAAAGATACAGCTTTACGATTCTCTCCGGAAAAAGCCGAGCTCCTGCAGGCGCGCCGTGGGCGGAGCTAAAGATTGACGAGCACTTGAGCTCCGACTGCCAACAAAATACAGACATTTGATGCAGTTTCACTTACCGTCTGCAGTTCTGAATCATGACCGGGATCTTTTTGTAGCTCGACCGCTCCATCCTTCAGTATCAAACGATGAGCAAATCCAGCATCGAACTGTGCCTTGCTTATAAAACATTCGTCAACAAACACACTTGTGAAACTCCGTTGCTGCTCCGGAAAAACAAACTGGATCCACTGGTTCTTTAGGAAGCTGAACAAAGTTATCTTTCCCTTACAACCAAAAACACACTTCTTTGGAGACATTCTTCCCAAGCGAGTCCCGTCCGACTCTTTAACAGTGTAAACAACTCTGAAAGTGACGTGACATGTGGCCAAGTATGGTGACCCATACTTGGTCTAACCATTAGGCCACGACTTCCCCAATGCATTGTTGCCTGAATGCATGAAACAGCATTGTACCCCCCTTTAAATAAGTCTGAACTTCACTAAACTGTTCTAAAGGAGCTTTAGACAGTACTATGGTTATGAGTCGATCCCTCAAAGAACCGATTCTTTAATTCCCAGTCGTTGGGATGGGAATTGAGAGTCGATTCCTCAAATCTGACATGTCCGGGCGTGACATAAATAGGACTGTGTTCATTACCTTTATTACACATCATATATGAGTACTCCATACTTAATTCATTCAAATAACTCGAATCTTTTTAATCCATTTACTTAAAAAATTCATTCACTGATTCATTCGGTGACTCTTTCTGTCAGTACACCAGTAAGTGGCGACCAGTTTAGGAGCATTACATGCGAGTAAGTCACTCAACTGATTTAGTTAAAAATACTTATTTTATTTTTTAAATGATTTATACTTAATTTATACAGATTTCGGTAAAACAGCAGTTCTTGCCAGTCATACTACCAACAATAATTAATTTATAACTTATAAAAACACATAAAGGATATAATTTATGCTATATTTTTCTTATGAATCAAGATATCTGGCTTAATTCAAATCTTGGATTCGACTCGATTGATTCCATAAACTTGGGAATCAAAAACACCATAAACATTCAGTTTGAGCCAGCTTTCTTTGCGCACCTTCCTTCCCTTTTCGTCCAAGGCTCACTTTTACTTGAAGCCCGTTTTGAGGAATGCACGCTCGTCTTGCACTAGCATTCCTGCCTCCTCTAGACATCACATCCGGGTCACTCGGCAGTCAGCGTGTAAACGAGTGTGCTCCTCCATACAGTTGCGTACTGCTGCTGCAGCTCTCAGCGCAACTCCACTGCATGCAACATGGACACTACGAGCAGCGGCCAGCCGCGGAGGATCTGAGCGCGCCTCGGGACCGCTGCTGACACGCGATACGCCACACTGGGGCAAGGATGAGGTGCCATCCAGCAGCCGCACACTGGTAGGCGAGTCGTCAGTTGCCAGCGATGTCAAAGACTCTGAAAAAGAAGAACCACTGGACGAACAAAGTCCACGAAGCGGTGCTCACCAGGAATAAGGAGGGTGAGCTGGGGTTCGACTTGAAAGGGGGCGCCGAGAACGGCAATTTCCCTTATTTTGGGGAGGTGAAGCAGGGTGAGGTGGCCATCCAGAGCGGCAAGCTGTCCCAGGACGAGCTGCTCTTGGAGGTCAACGATACACCGGTGGCGGGGCTCACCATCAGGGATGTGCTGGCCGTGATCAAGCACTGCAAAGACCCGTTCCGGCTGAAGTGCGTGAAGCAAGGTGAGGATAAACATCAGCGCACCGCCGTCTCTACGTGTGAACGAGCGTGCGAGCGACCCCTCCGCTGTCTGGGGCTGCTGTCTGCACATTATTCCCGCAGAAATCCTGTTTACACACAAATAGGTGCATTTCAGATCCGGCGCCTGATTGGTGTGGTTATCGATTGAAGCCGCGAACGTTCCGTCGTCGCTCGTGGCAACAGAAGTTACAATGTGGCGGATTGTCACATAAACATGTCAATGAAATTTAAGCTCTGTTTGGATTCTAAGGACTGTGGTATCATGCGTGAGGGAGCGGGGGGTGTTCCGCCCCGTGTCGGAGATATTTTGCCCCGCGGGTCCGCCATGGGCGAACTGGACGAATATTTGCAGGCAATTTCATTGATCTCCTAATTTGCACGGTGGCTGTGGCAAGCCGCTTTATCATTTATTCCTTTGCACTAGTAACTAGTAGCTCTTAGCCCCTTTCACACATACAGTTTTACTGGTAAATTACCATTAAGAGGTAATGTGTGAACAAGACCTTTTAAAAAATACCGGTAAATTCGTTCCTGCAATTTACCGGTATGAGAAGTTGTAACATTACCAGTAAATTACCCGTAATGTGCTCTGTGTGAACACAGAACAAGATTACCGGTATGAGCACATAGGGCCAATCATAACATTATGACGCAGATGACGCATTTACTCCGCGCTGTTTGTTGAAGTCAAAGAAATATCTAAAGTCTCTAATAAGATGTCTTTGGGCCAAAAGCGCTGCATGAAAGTGAAGGTTTGACACAAAAATGTAAAAATAATTTACGGTATTTTGAAATTGATGTGTGAATGGTTCTTTACCGGAAAAAAGACAGAATGTCATTGCCTGTGTGAATAGCACATTTTTGTATTTACCGGTAATATTACGGCAATTTACTGGTATTACTGTGTGAAAGGGGCTATTGTTACTAGTATTTATATTAAAGGGGTCATATGATGCGATTTCAAGGTTTCCTTTCTCTTTGGAGTGTTACAAGCTCTTGGTGCATAAAGAAGATCTGTAAAGTTGCAAAGACTAAAGTCTCAAATCCAAAGAGATATTCTTTATAAAAGTTAAGAGTCAGCCATGCCTACCTAAAACGGCTCGTTCTAACACGCCCCCACATATCTACATCACTATGTGGAAATATTAGCATAATGCCGCCCAAATGTGCACGCAAAGAAAGAAGGCGTGGTTTCAGGAACAGCAGTGTTGATGCAGCCATGTCAGGGAGATGCTGTGTGATTCAGTGCTAAAGCAAAAGCACTTTATTTGGCCTTCCGGAAGTAGATGCAATTAGGAATCATTGGTTAAGATTTATTTACAACAGAACAGCACAACCCAGATGTTCGAATTTGTGCAAAGCATTTTATGGACGACAGTTTTTTGAACCTAGAA